AAGAGCAGTTTTGAAGAGATTTCAACTAGAAGCAGAAAGGATTGAGTGTCTCCTGGAGCTGTACCCGCTGCCTTTTCAGTCTGGTGGCTCAGTCAACTAGTCACAGGAATGGCATACATACTAAATCTCTGTAATCTAAGGCAGTTTGTATATCTACAAAAGCAATTCAAGATTTTTGTTCATATAATGCTTTGATAAGAAGGAAACTTACAAATTTATCTATGGTCAAGGTGAATATTCACTTATCAATACCTTGTGAAACTGAGACTAGCAAGGCAGCACAATTTGCTTATGCTCATGGATATGTTTATTTTTTTCTAATCCAAAACCAGGAGCCTTAGTAGTGAAGCTGATCAAATTTAGTGTGAACCTTGAATTGTGAAAAATTTGACAGAACTAAGATATTCAATGTAATTAATACTTTATACTGGTATGACAAAAACTTAAGGTTTTCATAAAAAGAGAGATACAGATAGCAATTAATGTACTGTTATAATTATAACAATTCCTTTGACAGATCATCTGATTACAGTTTATGGTACCATATTGTTTAATTATTTCTCTGAAGGATTATGTATCAGATTTTTTCTTCATAAACAGCCATCTGAAGTGTCATGTCAATATTCAAAAAGCCATTCACTACATAGAATCTTAGAAATTAAGAGGTTAAAAATTCTATTATTATTTGTTTTCATAACTTTTTGGCCTTAACAGTACTTATGTCAATGTTCAAAACCCTTATGTTAATACTTCTAAGTAGTCGTTTATATATATATATATATATATATATATATATATATACTTTTTTTTTCTTTAGAACTTTATTTTCAAATTGTTTTCTTAAATTTGAGCATTTCTTCTGAAGGACAGTGTATAATTTGATGGCCCTTCCTACATTTATAGTATAACAGCTTCTGAAAGAAGCATCCCATCAGCAAAAAATAAATAATCTAGAATATTTAACAGGCTTCAGTGAATAGAACATTTCTATTTTTAGCAAAATCAAATGGAGATGAAGGAAAAAGTCATTGCTGGTGTCTGGTCAGTGAGGCAATAGTTTTAATCAAGAATGTTGTCTGCCGGAGAAAAATCAAGTGATCATTGTTGGAGAATTTTCTTTCAAGTCTCCCAATGCCCCTCCGTGGAAGAGGGAATGACACCTCATGGATCCCACCAGGTATTCATGGTGTTATGATACAGGGCTTCATGCCTTCAGGGCTGATGGGAGTAGCATGTGGGAAGTTGGGCTGACTAGAGGCATTTAGAGAGACCCTAGAGAGTGCAGTGAGCATGGCTTACATGAGCAATGATCACCATAATTCTGTAATATAACTATCATAGAAATCATAATAATACTTTACCCCCTTCTTTTTTTTTTTTTTTTTCTCCTCCTGCTGAGTTCATGACAGTGGAGAAAAAGTGTGGAGAAAGTTAATGAGTGCATTGTGCAGCATAATCCTTCTTTGCTCCTTCCATTCTATCAGTTACCTGGAACATTTCTGGACTACCTGCTGAACAGTTTCCTTGCAAAAAGAGCAAGAGAAATTAGACTCCAGATTCATTATGAGTTGACATCAGATTTTATTGGCTGCATAGGTCAAAGGAAGTAGTGCTTATTCACTGTGATGCCTGTGGAGAATGTGTTGTAAAAGATTTAGCCTTCGACCTGAAAGGGGAGAAGAATTTTTAGAGTTTAAACAACAACAACGACCAAAAAAAAACAACCAAACAACAACAAAAACAAAACACACAAAATCCTTCACCTTCGTTTAAGATTAACTTAAGCTATTTGCTCCAAAAAGGTCATTCATAATGCTCTGTATGCAGGTTATGCTCAAAGTGCCGTACTAGCTACTTAGGATTCAGCCATAGTAGGAGATAAGTTTATATGTTTTGTTCTGTGTTTTTTTTTTTTTTTTTCCTAGGATATTAGAATTTTGTTATGGTTATGTGTCTCACTGATAAATAACAAGAATAAACCACATTCAACATTTCATTTTAAATTTGAAAATGTGATAAAGGTAGTGATGACTGTTGCAATGCCTGCTGTTAGGATAGTCTTTGGGAGAAAAACAAAATTTATGTAGTATCTGGTTCCAGCTTGGTAATATGGTTTAACCTAGCATATTAATTACAGATACGTTGTTTCCATAAGAAGAGTGAATTCCATGCATTAAAGTCTAATTACATACAGTAGGGCTTTCAATGTTTTTGAATCGCAGGCTGTATTGGGTATAGGTGGCAAGGCTTTGGTAGCAGGGGGCTGCAGGGGTGGCTTCTGTGGGCAGAGCCCAGCCCATGTCAGAGCAGAGCCAGCTCCAGCTGCTCCAAAAGGGACCTGCTGCTGGCCAGAACTGAGCCAGGGAGTGATGCTGGGTGGGCCTCTGGGAGAGCAGAGGTAAGGGAGGGGAAAAAAATGCAGTGGAACAGCAGCTGGGAGAGCAAGGAGTAAAACATCCTTGCAGACCCCAAGGCAGGTGCAGGAGGGAGGGCAGGAGGTGCTGCAGGCAGGCAGGCAGCAGCAGTTCCCCTGCGGGCTGTGCAAGGAGAGGCCCCTGGTGGAGCAGGCTGTCCCCCTGCAGCCCATGGGTCCCCCATGGAGCAGATCTCCACGCTGCAGCCCCCCCATGGGTGGAGGAGCCCCCGCTGGAGCAGGTGGATGTGGCCTGGAGGAGGCTGCGGCCCATGGAGAGCCCCCGCAGGAGCAGGCCCCGGGCCGCAGCTGCAGCCCGTGGAGAGGAGCCCACGCAGGAGCAGGGGGTCTGGGGGGAGCTGCCCCCACCCATGGGGGACCCGTGCTGGAGCAGTTTGCTCCTGGGGGATGGATGGATGGATGGACCCCGTGGGACGGAGCCGTGTGGGAGCAGTGCTTGAAGAGCTGCTGCCTGTGGGCAGCCCCCCAGGCTGAGTTGGGGAAGGACGGCATCCCATGGGAGGGACCCCACAGGGAGCAGGGGCAGGGAGGGACCATGCGGAGACGAAGTGTCAGGGACTGACCACAGCTTCCTTTTGCCTGCACTGTTCAGGGGAAGGAGGTAGAATAGCATGGGTGAGGGAAGGTGTTTTTATTTTGGGGGAGGGAAAGGGGGATTGTTTCTCACTGCTCTAGCTTGTTAGTTATAAATCTAATTAATTTCTCTGTGCTGAGTCTTTTTTTGCCCGTGACGATAATTGCTGAGTGATCTCCCTGTCCTTATCCCAGACTTTGAGCCCTTTTCATTGTATCTTCTCCCCCTTTCCCTTTGAGGAGGGGAGTGAATGAGCAGTTGTGGCAGACCGCAGCTGCCCACCTGAGTAAAAGCACCACGCAGGGAAGAAACCTGAGGTTAGAAGAAACCTGAGATACTGAGTTCAACCCCACAACTAGGGCTGCATCAGCTATAATGTGGTTTCCTGGCACCATGCCCAGTTTGGTGTTGAATGTCTCTTCAGGTGAAGACTCCAAAATTTCTCTGGGCGATCTGTTCTAGTATTTCACCACCCTCACAGTAAAAACACATTTTCTCATGTTCCTAATGAATTTCCTGTTTCCTGATTTGTGACCATTGCTACTTCTCCTGTTAGCAGGAACCGCAGAGAAGGGTCTTGCTCCCTCTTCTTTCTTCCCTGCCATCAGATATTTGCACATTGATAACTACCTGTTTTGCACCAGGAGGTGTTAGGATCCCAGTAAGAAAGTCACTCAGACTCTTCAAGGTATCATTTAAAATACTGTCGATTAGAGCTAGCACTGTCGGGAAAGAGTAGCATAAACTTACATCCTGTTAGACTGGGAGAACTCCAGGTCTTGTAGCGTTTAATGGGCTTCCAACCCACAGGCAGCATGCTGGACAGGCCCTCTTCACAGAAGGCTTCTACTATTTCAGTCACTGGAGCTATTATGGGATTACTACTTTTTTTTTACTAGTAAATAACTCTGTTCATCATTTCTGCTGTCAAACAGAAAATATGTCCCCATGAGAACTTCTTGGTGCACTGTTGGATAAAGGCAGGGCTGTGCAGGTGGTGTATAGCCCGTATACACCACCAGTACCAATAGCCAGTACCTGGTGGGAACTGTAATAATATGCTGGTTGAGTTGGCCAAGTTTATCCTATGACAAAGGGATGTATGCAGCACAACACAGGCCTGAAGGCCATTCAGTACAAGCAGCACAGGCAGGGTGCACTGAGGTTAACATCAGTGATGATCCCTAATCCTGTGACATGCAGTGGTCTTCTGGGCAGGATCACAATAAATATTCCATAGTCCAGAAAACCTGATAATGTCATATATCAGGTATACTGTAAAGCCAGCATGGTTGCATTGGTTTTCTATGAGCTTTAATGAGAATTTAATGAGAATTTATTTATACAGTTGGCATACACCTTCTTATTACTAATAAAGACTGCTTAGGATCATATCAGTAATAAGAGAAGTGGTAATAGTGTTTGTGAGGTGGTAAGTAGATGAGATACTAACAGAAATAAAATTGCTGGTCATCAACACTGAGTAGATACTATGACTAGCAATTGTTGTCTTTTCAGATATTTGGCTGTTATGTGTCAAACTACCAAAGAAGAATTAAGAACTAACACTTAAGAGATACAAATATGTATCTTGTTAATAAGTAGAAAAATCAGTTGTTTTTTTACCTGCACTGAGGAAAGAAAATTTTTCTTTGATTCTGCAGTAAGTTACTTCGTATTCTAAAATGAAGCTTCACATTTGATCTTGACAGAGGTAAAAACACAGCACTAGATACTGTTTCCAGAGCTTTCATGAGAAAGTGTATAGGGTTCTATCAGCACACATACTTTGATGTGGTTACTCTGCAGTGTAATTCAATACTTTGTTGAATAGCAAGTTTTCTTAAACCTGTTTTAGAAACTCATAAATTTTTTACTGCCTGGTGTGTTTTTGATTGATCAGTCATTAGATCAATTTCTACTTGTTGAAATGCATCTTATAGAAAGTATACATTTGTAACGACTAAAAATTCTTCCCTTTTCTTGCCACAGGATAAGAAATGGGTTCTCAATCATGAAGATGTCACACTGGGAGAATTACTGGGCAAAGTAAGTAATCAAGTGAGCTAAATAACATTTTTAAAAGTATGTATTAGTCATTAAACCTATATATTTCCTGATTGCTTTATCCTTTAAATTACTGCAATACTCAATCTTTATAGCATTTTTTTTTTTTACTTTACTACACAAGACAGTATTGTGCTTTAAATCAGGTGTACTGCTAAGTGTTACACTGTGTCTGTTGAAAAGTTTAGCATACATATTTTTCTTATTTGGAAGGCTTTTAAGCTTACTATATGTGTGTAAAGTTAGTTTAAATTGTGAAGTCTTATGAAAAAAAATGTACAAATATGAAAGGCGTATAAATAAAATATTTGATATAAGATGATGATGTAGTCAATACTCGTTAAAACATATGTTCTTTATGCACCTGTATGTTTTTTTTGACTTTTAAGTAGCTTCACAATAGTATATGTATAAATTAATTCTTATGGGGTATATCACACGTTCTGCTTAGGAGCTTCAAGTCTTTGAAATACTCAAGTAAGTCTAGTATCTTACATAAATTTTCAGCACTTTTGCACCTATCAAGAAAATTGCAAGTGACACTTTTGAATACCATGTTCCAAAAGATTTCCCCAAAACTGAAAAATAAGCTTGAATGAGAAGCAGATAAATGTAAGCAACAGTTGTCCTATAAGTTTCTTACACACTAAAAGAACTGATAAACTTTTCAAGAAATGTGGAAATAAAATAAAAATAAGTAAATTCTGCTTCTTGGGAAAAAAGTCTTTTTGATAGCTTAAGATGACAAGAATTATTAGCTGCCTGTAGACAGAGCTGTGTTGCTTAAAATGCCATACAGGTACCATGACAGTTTCACATTCTTAAACAGAAACATACCAAAGGCATAATAATAATAATAATAATAATAATAATAACAACAACAACAACAGGATGTTTAGTAATCTATTAACATAACTTTGTTTGCAAAAAATAAATTTGAATTAGTGTTGATGAGTAAAGACAGCCGAAACAATCTGCAAATTGATTCAAAAACTGAATTTACATTTATTGCATATTTTTGACAAAGCATTTTAACACTCAATAAAGACGACTCAGTCTTAAAAGTCATTATAATAAGTTATATTATTTAATAAATAAATACAGAATGAGAACTTTATTGGGACACTATATAAATCTGTAATTCATCCTTTTCTGAAAATATACAGTCAGACTAGGAAAGGCAAGAATGACAGAATCATTAGCTTCTATGTAAGAAAATACTAAATAAACTGCAGCCATTGACCCTGAAAGTAAGAAATCTGTGAAATTCCAAAATCTTGATTGTCCTGGAGAACAAGACAAGGAAAATGATGAAAGCTTAATGCAAGTAAGGATGCAAACTGGCAAGGTAGAAAGAAGATTTCCTTCACCTCAGCAGTGAATAGTCCTTTTATTTACACAATATTAATTCTATAATATACACAAAATGAAAGTAACATATTATATTAAAAATGAAATTCTTCTAAACAATGCCAGATGAAAAGCATTTTCTAGACATCAGAGGTAGTGTTCTGTCCTTTAGAAGGGTCATAGATCCTATGCCACGCTTGCCAGGTGTTTCTTACTTATTATTAAATAAAATAATACCTGAAGCCAGTGTTTAGGCACCTGAATTTCTTCCCTTGTCAATACTAATGCATTAGCATTTTTCATCTATGAGTTTCTGCATCTCTCCCCTCCCCTCCCCTTTTTTTTTTTCTCTACTTTCTTTGGCAATACAGGATTCAAATGCATGGTATAAATATGTCTTTGTCACTGAGGAAAGAAAGCAGATTCCAGCAGATTTTTGCAGTTTGCTGAAGTCATATGTAGCTCTGTGCACTAGGACACAGGAGGGGAAATTTATGAGATGCAGATTTAAAATGGGGTTATATTTATTCTTTGGAAAATGGAAAGCTAAAAAAAAAAAACAACTAAAAGTATGAGGTCTTTGTGTGTCCGCAGTCCATCCTGGTTCTTTTCATTGACAGCAGATATCTCTGACACCACAATATCTTCCTTCCTTTAATTTTTATCCTCCTTAATTTTCATTTTGTTTTTGATTAAGTAAAAATCACATATGATGGATTTTTGTCTATGAAAGATAAAATAAAAGTAACTTACACTGAGAACAGGTCGTTGAAGATCTAAAAAATCTGATTATAGAAGAAGCTGATTTCTAAAGTCATGTCCAAATATGGGGTCTTAAATATAGCAGTCTTGAGCTTAGGTTTTAAAAAAATGTAGATAGTGTAACATTTTTTAGAGGGATGTGACGCTTTTTTTTAATGGTTTTAATTTGCAATCAAAATTAATATTCTGTGTTTTTATTTTTCTTACTTTGCTTATTTAGTTCCTTGAGAATGTATATGTTTTGAAGTGTTTTTTTGTAGTTTCACAGATTGTCTTTTGGTCTTTTACAGACTGCAAGTTGAAAAATATTGAAAAATGCATTAGTTTGAAAACGAAAGAGGACAGGAGTAAGAATAAGAAAAAAAATACTGATATCGCTGTCTATAGACTTAAGATATCACCAGGAGTTTTTACAAGAAAATTGTAATTACACAATTAATGTGTTTTTTTCTTTTTCTAGTAAGGTCAAATAGAACTCATATATCATATCCATAAAATAGATGAACTCTGTCTATGTGAACTGAATTGTGTTAAGGGCATATACTAGAAGAAAATTTCATAAACATATTTCAAAGTCCTGAACCAGTTACATTAGCTGTCTGCTTTATTTTTCTGGAGGTTTGTAAAGATTCTATTATTTAGAATTATTTTATTTTCTGATTTCAGGGTAATTTTGGTGAGGTATATAAGGGAACGTTAAAGGATAAAACTCCTGTTGCTGTAAAAACGTGTAAAGAAGATCTTCCTCAGGAACTGAAAATAAAATTTCTGTCAGAAGCCAGGTGGGTTCTCTAAATGTAGTTGAAATATATACTTATACTGTGGGATTTTATTTTTTTTTCATTTAAAGTTATTTTTTACTATAGAGGTTTACAAAATATGACCTTCACAAAAATTCAAAGAAACTATAGATAAACTTTTTCCTTTTTTTTCCCTCCCTCAGTACTTTCCACAACTGTTGCCCTGGTAACTAAGCACAGGCATTTCATTAATGTGTGTATGCAGCAAGCATCCGCACTTGCTGAAACCACCTATGCAAGCTATGCTTATAAAACAGATTTTTGGTATTGTAAGTGCCTCCACTTAGAACTTTTTCTGATACACGCCATGAGAGTTTGAATAAGAAGACTGGAAGATACTATTAATTTAAATGTGATTATACCAGTATAATGTATGATGGTATATGCAGACTAAGGGTACATGACTGATACAGCTTGTCACATGTGACCAGGTAACAGTATAGACCTCATTTAGTAACATCCTCTTTGTAAGAATTCATCCCAGTAGAGATACTTTACAGTTACAGCATATAACTGTATATTTATTTTTGAAATGGCAATCTAAGTACTCTGAATGTAGGCTGATTAGATGGCTACATGCACAGAGAGTTTCTAACACCTCAGGGTAGAGGGGCATGTTGTGATAATTTCATAATTGTTTAAATTAATTTGCTCTGTTGTGGCTATGAAGCCACTTCTACCCCTGAGCTAGTAAGATCAATATATATCTATTAGTATATCCGTAGCATGTTTTTGAACCTCTCATAACTTGGCAGAGCAAAACTCTGAGATTTTTCATTTATAGAGCAGCCTACCACTGCTAGTGTTATACTGGGGAAAAAAAATACATATTATTTTTTCACTAAATTTGTTTGTACCAAGTAGGTTAGTACTTCACTCTTGTTCCTAGGAAAAACAGAAAAGAGAGGGGGTGTTTTAAGTTATTAAATCATAGAATAATCATTTTAAAATTGTAAAGTCTCTCTAGAATTATTGCTAGCCCTTAATTTCACATATAAATCATAACATGCTGTTTTAGGCTGCAAATGTTCTTATTAAAGTATCACGTAAGAAAATGTAAATGTTGTTATTTAATTCCCAAAATTAAAATTGTTGTCTGTATATTATTTTAAAACTTATTGTATCAATTAACCTCTTAGAGTAAAATTGAAATGAGTGTGCATTTGAGAAGTGCAGCACGAAAGATTAGAGATGTATTGTGCATCCTTTTTTGATGTACCTCTTTTTCTGGTCCACCACTGAAACGTTATTTAATTACAAGGGTTCCTGAGAACCTACAAACCTGTCAGGCTATTTTTCGGTTATGTAGACAAATGTGCCTTAAACAAATGGTAAATCTACAGTAAGAATAATTTAGTTCAATCTCGATCTTTTAGTGAGTAATAATGCCCTCAAACAGAAGGATGATTAATTTGTGACATCAGTTTTTTTTTAATGATAATAGTAATGCCATGTTCCATTAAAATAACATTAAGGGTATAAGATATTTTCCTATTTAATTGGTTTGTACAATAAAGTTTATTAATATAGTAAACTTACTGTATGTTTTGCAGAATACTCAAACAGTATGATCATCCTAATATTGTAAAACTTATAGGAGTTTGCACACAACGACAACCTATTTATATTGTTATGGAACTTGTTCCAGGTAATTTTATTTTTCCTTTTTTCACAGCCTATGTTCATATGTACTGCTTCTGTAATGTAAAATACATTGTTTTTTCTGTCTTTATTTGCATTCTTATGACTGGCCTAAAAAGTCACTTGCCTTATAAATCTTTGGAGATTTGCTTCTAGCATTTGCTTGCTTAGGAGTAGAATGAGCTCCATAAATCTGTTGTGAGTTTTTCTGTAGCCACTCAAGGCAACAGAATTTGCTACCAGATATCTCATGCATATCTTCATTTTTCTTTTGACAAGATATAACATAGTACTTCCTTTAACAATAAGGTTATACAGTGAATGTTATGATGCTTGCATTTGAAGGAACTTCATGACTTGGTAAAGTTCAATTTAATAACTCAGATTTGGATGATATAAGACATTTGTTAATACAAGAGGTTTTTCTTTGCAGTATAATTGTTCAGTTTATGGATTGGTCTTGATTTATTTTTGGGATGTTTTGTTCAAGTTATTCACCAATGACTGAAGAGAATCTCAAATTGTTGGGTTGAAAAGTTGGCTTTTGGGCAATTATACCTCTCTGTTGATTCGTTCTGCTGGAAAATGTGGTGGCCTCTAGTACTGCTTTATATGCAACACTGTGTTTTATGTATCACTGAATTTGTCTTCAAAAGTATATTGTAGGGTGTTTTTAAGAACCATTTCCTTCATAAAGACTTAGATCGTTTATAACTTGAGCTCTGGATTTAGTACAAGAACATGAATTCAGTCTTTGACCTATTGGATTTTTATACCTTTATTCAATTTATTGTATTTGAGATTATATTAGATCATTTTATTTGTACACATGATTAACATTATTCAAATGGAGACTAATAACAATGTTCTGGGTTTTAAGATGTACTTTGGTAATCAGCTTCTCCAGACATCTCTGCTGATAAATATAAATCCTGATCTTTTAACAGCATCATCATTTTGTTTCAGGGTTTTCAAGAGTCTAGGACAAGTAGTTGAAACATACTAATACCATTAGAGAAGGAATTAGAGTCTTTGATTCCCATGCCTAGTTTGCAGTCCAAGTCTATGCAGAAATTCTTCTGTCTCCTGGCTTTGAAACTGCGAGAAAATTCTTAATTTCCATCCTGTTCTGCTGGTCTGTAAGCCCTCTGGCTAGCTTCCACACCTGCCTGCCCTCAGAAATGCTGCACAGTCTTCAAGTCATCACACTTTCCCATATTCTTTTGAGGGCTAAAACTTGGCTACCATACCATCAGAGTGACTAAATAATCTAGAAGAGATATGGATGCCAACTCTGAAGAAGTTGGCAGAAGAAAGACAAAAAAAAAAAAAAAGAATAAATTAGTTTAGAAAAGTTATTCTGATGTTAATTTTCTGTTTTCTAATGGCAAGTTTGGGGTAACAAAAAATAAGAATTATTGTCAGTGCTTTGACTTGATATGTAAAGCTTTGAAGGACAGAAGGCTGGTAGGCTTGTTAAATTGTGCTTAACGCCCACCTCTCTCGGTATCTGCTTTGTCTACATTTTGTCTTAAACATGCTTTAAGGTGTTTAAGCTGTTTTTCTGGCATTCTTTTTAATAATTAAAAGTGGCATGTTTTAGGTTAGAATTGTATTCTGTAAATGTCTGGCTGAGAAGTCTGGTAATTCATAAATGTCAGACGATGTTTCTCCCTGAGGAGAAACATTAGAAACAGCTCCATTAAGCAGGGAATCTCCTCTGTGTTAATTTTCTTGTATTCTGTTTAATGTTTCCCCTTTTTCTATATCCCGAATACATATGTGCTGTATTCTTACTGTGTCTTTTGAGACTACTGTGGTGTGGCTTGGTAGCTGCTCAGTAGCAGCTAATTCTGGTTTCATTCAGATTTCAATTAAGTATCTTAATTTATTCAAGTATTAAAAAAGTTATTTTAAAACTTATGTAAAAAGATGTTACTCTGTTAAAAATGTAAACTGAATTAAAAACTATGCATCCCTTCTCAGAAAGAGCAGTCAGGCATTGGAAGGGGTTCCCCAGGGCGATGGTGGAGTCACCATCCCTGGGGTGTTCAAGGGAAGGTTGGACGTGGTGCTTAGGGACAGGGTTTAGTGGGTGACATTGGTAGTAGGGGGATGGTTGGACCAGATGATCCTGGAGGGCTTTTCCAACCTTAATGAGTCTATGATTCCATGAAATTGACAGAGTCCTGTTATCTGATGAAAGACATATATTTTCTGAAGAGTCAGAGAACATAACAAATATTTTAGACAATTGTAAAACATGTATGTTAAGAAAATACTCACCCTGACCATCACAAGATTCCTTAGTGCACTTTAAACAACCTATATTGAGCAACATGCATTTTAATATAGGTGAAAAATACTGGAATATTTTTAAGAGTTGTGTTTTCCAGTATTCTGGATAAGCAGCTGGCACCAATCTAAAAGTAAAGAATCATAACAGTTTCCCTGAAAACAAAAGAGGATATTCTGCAAATGATTTCTTACTCCTTTAGACACATATACCACAGACAAAAATCTCAGTAGGTTGTGGTGGTTACCTACTGACAAGAAACCCCTGATCAGTATTCTGAAGAGCATTATTTGGGAGGTATGTGCTTCTAGCTTGTGTAGGAAAGTATTTATTTATTATATAACTTAAATTTATTATTGCTTTCTACTAGCTGTTCTTCTAATTGATAAAAAAAACTTGGACTGTTGAAACTGAGTCACTGCGACCTTTATATTTTTTCGTATAAACGTTTTATATATTTGCACAGAGATCTATAGAAAAATCTTACTTTACAGGCCTAAATTATGCTAGGTAGCTGCTGTGAAAAAGCAATTTAGCAAAGCAGATGATTTTAAAATGTTGACTTGTGATTGTATGATGGATAATTTGTAATAACATTTAAAACACAATTGCAAATAATTAATTTATACTTTTCTACCTAAATGACATTGAAATACTAACTGAAAAAAAAACAAAGAGCTGTCCAAATCAATTTAAAAGCACAATGCTGAAGTTGCTATGTGGCTTTTAGACTATCATGTAATAAAAAATAACCTAAATTTTACAGTAATATATATTTTTTTCTGTGATTTTTTTAGTGGATAACTGGGAAAACTCTTATTAGGACATGATGTTTGCATTACAACATCACATTAATGGAGATCTTCTCTTAGAGATTTCTCATTGTTTGGTGGTTTTGACTCTCTCTGTGACTTTTGAATTATCAGATTGAACATATTAAGACATAAAGAAAATTTGAGGAGAGCAATCCTCACACATTGGTATGTTGTGTTCCTAATGGAAGCTAGATTTTCATTTTTCTTTTGTTGTGTGCATACCTTTGCTCATGTTTTTTGATTTCCTACTGCTAGCTTCTGCTCTTCACATTCCATTAGGGCTCTTGCTTTAGGATGTACTTGGTCAATGCACATGTGCATGCCGAGCAAGTCCTCTGCACTTACACGTTAAGGCAGATGTGCTGGCTTCTAGACACAAAGAGTCAATTAATCCCAGGTCCCTTGGCGTGTGATGTCTTCACCCAGAGAAGCACATGGTATGGGATCCAAAATTTTTGTAGGCGTCTCTGCATAGTAAGCCACACTAATCTAATTTGTTGACAGTTTGCTGATCATCTGCATAGCACGTGCACAGTGAATGGGATACATGCAGTGTGGGACTGTTTTTTAACAGCAGGCAGATAAGGAGCCTTGATTTAAGACATCAAACTTTACCTAGAGACAATACAGTGAGCAAAGTCTGACCCTACTGATACTGACTCAGTTGAGGTTACCCCAAAAAAACCACAAACACAGTATTTTGAAAGCAAGTTTCTTCTTCTAAGACTCCACTGTCCAAGGACAGATTTCAAATGCTGTGTTAGAACATAGCTAATGAGACCTCCATGTCTAAAAGTCATGTATTATTTTACAATACAGTGAAATAAATCATATGGTAATTGTAATATCAGGCAATGAAGTTTAAATTCTGCATTGAAGGAATGGAAATGAAGTAGATTGGCTCCAGAAAAAGGAGAGCACAACTCTTGAGTTGCTGCATACCACCAGAGTTTTCATACCTTTAAAAAATTGTGGTTAGAGTGACTACTGGACTCTTAGAACCTAGTAATATAAGAAACTGAAAGTCATATAGATTGCTAAAAGATATTTTCTTTGCAATGTTCTTTTTTTTTTTCTTTTTTTTTCTTACAACTGGATAATGAAATGTCAGATAAGTAAGCTTAATAGGGTTTGATGCCAAGCTGGATTTTTTCTCATATTTTCTGAGCTAAAAATACAAATACTAAAGTATTAAATAATTTAATACAGTAATTTTGTAGTAATCTTCTGTGATTTATTTTAAGTGCTCTGTTTATCCTAAGAAAAAAAAAAGGTGAAGTAAAATGAGAGTTGCTAATGAATTACAGGAGAAGAAATCCCATATATCCAAACACTTGATGTTAATATTGAGCCTCAAGTTTGTACTTTCATATGTATTTGACTGAAGACTTCATCTAAATGAAAAGTAATGCTGTAAAGGTGGGATGCTGGTCTTATAATTGTTCAGGGAGAGTTGCTGCGTATTTGAGACTCCACAAATACACTCGGTAGCCTTCATTGCAAGAATTTCGTAATGTAGATAAGGCTTCATCAGAAATGGTTTCCAATATGAGGAGCACCAGAATTTTATGTAAAAACATGGTTTATGCTACTATATAAAAAGCACATAAATTCTCTGAGATGCCACATCAATCTATAAAATTGAACATTTTAGTCCTATTTCACAGGTTAATTTATTCTTTTTTCTTTTCTCTGCATCTGTTTTCACAGTGGTTTTGGTTTTATTGTTTTTTTGTTGTGTTCTTTATCCTGCATTGTTGACCTTAAGACTACCGAAAGAGTAGTAATAATGAGGAGCTGCTTTGATATTCAGAAGAGGAAAAGAACAATTTGCCAGAGTCAGTGAAAGGCCACATAGGGCATAAGGAGTTTTTATAACAGCTCATTTTTAGCAAA